CCCCCCCCCCCCCCCCCCCCTCTCCAACTCGCCAACGCCGAACTGCACCTAGATCTCTTAAGCAGCTTTAGATGACAGGCGTAATTATAATATTAAGGAGTAGCGTATCTGTACAACACCCATTCCTCTAGGCCTATATCTGGCCAAGAATCTGTTTATGGTGGTGTGCTTCCTGCACTATTCTCGAAGTTGACAATAAGTTTATTGGATGGCTCAACGTTTCGATGAGTTCTCCTCCTTGAAGCCTGAAAGGATGGAAGTTGACTTATGAGCTGGTCGATCAAATAACTCATATCCCCACAGTGACCTTCGACACCTTCCCAGTCATCCAGGAGCGAATAGCGCAGTACCAAAGCCTTCGAACGGAATATGGTCTGGTGAGTCTAAGAGGTACGGGATTCTCATTCCTCTTGTGTTCGGGAAGGGCGGAAGGGGAGTGAGATGGCGTCGAAGATTCCTATAGCGATGTGAGATATTTGGCGGACAGCTCAGAAAACGACTGCATCCTCGCACGCTCCAAAGAAGGAGAACTTACTGAAACGTTAGCCAGATAATAAATGCCGTTGGCAGCTCGAGCAGTTCAGGAAGCGGTAGTGATACATCACATTACCACATGCTGAGATTCATCGAGCGGCTAACATGGAAATTGTTTTTGATCCTCGTATTGTTATAGCTGTAGTCCTGGTCCTGTATCGGAGGGGTTGCTGAGAGAATGAAATGAGCGAACCGAATCTAGGCAGGCCGCTTATAGTATCTGCAGTTTCTGATAATCACAACCTTGGCAGTTCAACTTGTTAAGAAAACCGAATGCGTGGCGCATCCCAAAAAGACGTTCATTTTGTTGTAGGTGATGGCGGCGTTCATGGATATCATGCAGAATCCTCAAAATCTAATGAAACATATGGGTAATCAGAAGGTGATGAAACTGATTGCAAAGATGAAAGGTATGCCGATTTTTAACATCTCATTAAAAATTTGCTGCTAGGACTTGTCCCCCCCCCCCTTGCCAAGGGAAAAACTACCCCACTCATTTTTTGGAATGAGCATGAACCCACCCCATGCTATTTTTAGAATGCGCAGATTTGTTTTTTCAGACGTGAAGGTTTCAGGCATGAGTGGAATGTTTGGTGGTGCAGGTGCTGCGCCAGGTGGTTGCCCGTCAGGCGCGAAATGCGGAGATACGGGATGTGGAGGTGGTGGTGGAGCAGGAGCTGGTGCTGCTCCAACTGCTCCCCCTCCAAAAGCCCCTGAACCTGACCTCGATTAAGCAGAAGATGTTGTCAGCATGCTGTCTTCTATCGATGTATTCAGAGTGTATTCTCGGTTTAGTGTTGTAACCGGTTGTTTCTCAAATATGTCTAATTGTTCATCATAAAACTTTCTATTCGCTTCATTGTGTAGCGTTTATGCGTTGTTTGTTTAATAAAGCTTTCTTATTCTATCTATTAGTTGCATTAATGGTGCTTTTCCGATATGGTATATCAGAGAAACAGCCATTAAAGACGAGTGGAGTGATGAGTGGATCCCGAGGCTGCATTCATACTTCGCGGCAGCGTATACCAGCGACCATCAGCGTTTCGAGCGTCCGTCAGCGTCAGCGACGAGGAAGTATGGATATCGATGTAGTGAACGGCAGCGTTCACCAGCGTCCACCGCGACCAGGAGTACGATATTGTGCAGCAGTATGGTGTGGTTGCAGACGCCAGCATTTGTCTGCTTCCTCCAACTTCCCCAATAATCTACCAGCAGTCTGCTACCCTCCTACTTCCCCATGCTCTGCTCCTGGTCGGTGGTGGACGCTGTGGGTGCTAGATCGATATCCATACTTTCCTAGTCCCTCGAGACGCTGATGGTCGCTGGCGGACGCTGGTAGACGCTGTGGTCGCTAGATCGACAGCTTTACTGTTCAAGACAACTATACTCTTCTAGTCGCAGATGCTGACGGGCGCTCAAAACGCTGTTGGTCGCGTGGACGCTGCCGTATATGAAGCGCAGCCTTAGGGGTTAGTTCCAATCAATTTAATTGCATTAAGTGCGAGGCTGATGGTCACCAACCCACTGATATGTCAGAACAAAGCGTAGTGTTGTGGAGGTCTTCACAGCGCCAAGGAATCGGAGAATCCGTGAAGATTGGACGCGTATTGATTGAGTGACACTACCGGCTGTGAGTTTTTGCACTACTGACGGCAGGGCGTATCACTGCGTGGTGAAAATTTTTGCTAGGCAGTACTAGTTTGCCAGAGCGCCTTCCGTTGTGATTTCCACAAGGAATGATGTGTTCTGATAGGCGATTCCTCGAGAAGTAACCGCAGTTGTGATTTTTTTTCTTCATTGTTTATTAAGAAACATGAGTATGAAAAGAAGTGTTGAATTATGGACCAACACCCGGAAACAGGGGCACATCATTGGTTGGGGATTCTAATCGTCTGTACGCCCCCCCTCCCTTTTTTGGGGTTGGTACGACCCTCCCCCCTCCGGCCCTCTGTCCCTCCTCATCGAATCGAGCTGTCGAGGAGGGGTATTATAGTATGCAGACACAGGAAAATCACAAAAAGTCAACCACCGCTCCTACAACGCCAAAACGTAAATACGACCCCCCTTTACAACGTCCGTGAAGCGAGAAAAATCAACTATCAAAATAAATTTTTCCCAGCCCAAATACGACCCCCTCTCCTGGCGGCCAAATACGACCCCCCTATTGGGGATTCCCCAACAACGATGTGCCCTGGCCGGAAAGTGACTCTCCAGCCTTTTATCCGCAATTTTTTAAGGTTTTGCACATTGCATACTTGCAAAAGGTGGCGCGTGTAGCTTTATAATAGAATATTTATTTCCACAAGTCAGCAACGGTATTTCTCGTTCGACAACTGTCACTTCTCGCAAGCCACAAAACCGTTTTCTTTGGCGACGTAATCACTCCATTTACCCAATAACACCTTATTTGTGTCACTCTCCATTTGAATCTGAAAAATGTTCATAGAAGGACCAGTGAATGATTGGAAAACCCATTTTTATTGCCGAACATCTTTTTATTGCCTAAGCGCGGAGCTGAAAGTAATTCATCAGGCGAAGCTGTAGGAGAAATTCTGGAGCCAAGGTATGGATATTTGAAATGGACTTTAAGAGTGAGTTGTCATGGCACTACGAGCTTTCATCCACTGGACTACTTTTTCGATTACCCATTCGGAATTTGGCAAGGAAAGCGTGCTCATATACCAAGTAAATCCTGTTGATTTTTCTTTTTGGTATGGAATACCTTGCCCGTAAGCGATGAAGTTTCTGGGTAGGCAGCGCTTGCTAAGTGTGTGTTTCATGTATAGTGGATGAGTTGGAGTGGGAGATATGCATCTGCTTAATTGCTGCGCAAAGTGCTCGTGTTCCCCGCAAATCGGGAGGACTGATCTTAGTTGTGCATCTCAAGACGCTTAGACTGCGTTCATACTTTGTGGCAGCGTCCACCAGCGTCTACCAGCGTCTGCTAGCGGCGCTGGTAGCGCCTAATCCGGCTGTTTGCTACCCTCCTAATTTCCCATATTCTCTACTCCCGGTCGCTGGTGGACGCCGGTATACGCAATATATCTATACTTTCCCGGTCGCTGACGCTGCCGGACGCTTGGAATCGCTAATGGACGCTGGTAGACGCTGTGGACGCTGCCGTAAAGGATAAACGCAGCCTTACACCGATGTAGACTCATCGCAAATGATCGGATCGCCCTGTTGGGCTTCCCCTGTCGGTCCATTTTCTCTTGATATGGACAGTGCTATGAAACAGTGTACGTCCACTCTTAAAAGAATCTCATAAGAGCTGTATTTGGTCGCTGGGGGAGGGGGGGGGTCGTTTTGAGTTTTCTGGTCCTACAAGGGAATGGTTTCAACTTCCCATGGAACTTTGAATGGAGACCTAGGTACATCGATAGTCTCGAATGCTGATTACGAATATGCAGATTAAAAGTGCTACGGGGACCTCCCAGACGAGTTCTGGGCGGTCAAAGTTTGCGAGAACGCAGTTTTGACTCGTAAGCGCCGCTGATCGATCGTTGGGCAGTGCCACCGTGCCTAGTGGTAACGGTCTCGCTTCAAAGCCAAATGCTCGTGGGTTTGCATCCCGTTGGCGCGAAAGTTTTTGCTTCGTCTCCTATAAGAGCTTTTACTCTAATTTTCGAATCTTCCGAGTTTACGATCCAGCAGAGCAAGTAGATAAATAGATCAATGACGTACTCGATCGAATATGGATTTGGTCACTATCTGCCCTCTCTGAACTCATTACCCATCCGACAATTCGAAGTTTTGGCCAGAAATTCGTTCCTGGGAGCATTTTTACCCCTGACACGAATATCACATCGTTTGAGGGAAAAACGCTTGAAACCTTTCATGTTGTTGTGGTCATCAACTGAACGAGGAAATTGATCGTTTTCGCGTCAAACGGATGTGATATTTGTGCTCAGGGGATCAAAATACCCCAGAAACGAGCCAACAGTGATTCTAGCCAAAACCTCGAGTTGTCGGATGGGTAATGTGCTCACGGGCGGATAGTGATCAATTCATTCTCGTTCGATTCATATAATTGATCTACTTGATCTGCTTGCTCTGCTGGATTCTAAACTCGGAAGATTCGAAAATTAGAGTAAAAGCTCTTATAGGAGACGAAGCAAAAATTTTCGCGCCAACGGGATGCAAACCCACGAGCATTTGGCTTTGAAGCGAGACCGTTACCACTAGGCCACGGTGGCACTGCCCAACGATCGATCAGCAGCGCTTACGAGCCAAAACTGAGTTTTCGCAAACTTTGACCGCCCAGAACTCGTCTGGGAGGTCCCCGTAGCACTTTTAATCTGCATATTCGTAATCAGCATTCGAGACTATCGATGTACCTAGGTCTGTAAGTTCCATGGGAAGTTCAAACCATTCCCTTGTTAGGGAGAGGGTGTAGTGAAGCAGCCAGCTAGCACACCCCATGTTGTGTTCCCTGGGACTGAAGCGGTTACCTTCTGGATCCCATGAGAGGTCAACCAACTTTGAGAGTACCGCTGATTGTCTGAACAGACTTCTTCATTGAATGGCTGCGTAGCATAGCGTACCCTTGAACATGAGCACCCAGCGACCGCAGAATCAAAAGCAACATTAAAAGAGATATGAAGAGATGAGGGAGCCCGCTAGCCGAACGTTGATGATTAGATGCGATAACAAACTAGGATGATGAATATGGTAATGTGAAGGGGCATTAGAGCGGATGTGTCACTAACTTCTGATCGGGTTGCAGTAAATGGATGGTATGGGAAGTCGGTTGAGGACATCGGTGGTAGGTTATGGAAAAAAAGTTTAGCCAATGATGGTGGGTGGTAAGAAATGTAGGAGGGCATTTCGCCGAACCCAGCGCGCCCCCGTGCAACAGTGAGCCCTACGCCCACCGCCGGACGCTTGTTCTTTTCAAGACAGTCCCAAAGATCTAGGAATATTAGAAGAAAACCCGTTCTGACCTACTGAAATGTGTTGCAGGGGGGAGGGGCAAATAATTAATAATAATCAATAATTTAATAACGCATTAATCAGTGTTGCGGCGCGTCCACTCTCAACCCTCCTTGCGTCTGCATCTCTCAAGTGGTCTGGCTCTGTCTATGCTGTCTGTCCAGCCAACTGGCTAGGAAGTGCTGTGCAAGGAACTGGCATGCCACAACTAAAGGGGAACCCTACACAGCCGTGAAAGGTGGAGAACCTGGCAAAATCATCTCGGCCCGATCGCGTTGAAGGGGTGGTGCTTGAAGTCAGCTGGACGATCCGAGTGGCATCTAGATGTAAGAACTCACACACATGTGCTCCTCATAACGCTTCTTAAAGTCTTCTAATTCAAATGTGTAGTCCGCTGGAGCTCCGTAGGCGGATTCGAAAACGACTGTCAAAGTAGTTATTATGCTTGCATGTTCACAGCTGTCACACACTTTCTTTCCAAGAGCTGTAAGAAGGATTGAGTGACGAAGCCCATCGTCCTTGCTTAACTGTTACTGCCATAAGAGTGTGTAGAGTGAGCTGTTCGTAAGTAAACTATGAGCCTATGAGAGGACAAAGGATGTCACGTAGCCTGCGATGGGACTTCTAATGTTTGATTTTTTTTTGTTGCTTAACGACGGGATACAAAAAAGTGCGGGATCGTGGAGCGATAACGAACTATAGAGGTGGCTACCATAGAGCCAGGCTTGAGCTGCTTTGAGGATGTTTTTCAAGTCCACTGTGATGAGACAGAAAGTTGGGTGCAGCTAGCCGACGGGGGTT